CCCCCTTTCTGTTGAAGATAGAGCAACCTAGCCTGGAGGTTCAGCTTAACTTCAACTTCTTGAGTTACAAATCACTCACTTCAGTGTTGTATCTAAGAACAAAATATCCTCTTTATGAAATTTCTAACATTAAAGAAAAAAGTTCTCTAAACACATACAGATAGCAGTCAACCTTCCATCTCAAACGATCAGTATAAATACAAGATCAGGGGAAAAAAAAAAGAAAAAGATCACCTCAAGCTAAAGCAAAAATAAACTAAATATCACCAACTAAACACAAATGACAACATAGAAAAAAAAGTAAAAAATGAGAAAAATCCAATAAATGAGAAGACTCTAACCTATATCGCAGAAAACCTACCAAGAAAACGTGCTTTTTTTTTTTTGAAAACCTAATCAAGCAAAAAAAGGGGCTTGTTTTAAGGAAATAAAAGACCCGTGAACCCTAGATATACTCACCGCTGAGAGATTGTCGCCCGAAAAGTTAACTTTTTGTAAAGATCGGAGGCCTAAAGGTCGTGCTAGAAAGTATTTGGTGAAGAATTTGAGCCAGATTGTTCGACAGATAATGCAACTTTCTTCTCTGTATTTGCTGAAGGATCGCTCCTTTTTGTTTTAGATTATACTTCTGCTAAATGAACAGTGGGTCCCACCACAATTCTTCAATCGCCAAGATACCTTTGTCCTGACTTACTAGCAACAGATTCTCTCTCTTGGTACTATACAAATTTGCAAGAACTGGAACTGACTAATGAGCCCCAGCCCAGTGTATGGCTTTTACTCTGACTAATTTTGGGAATTGTCCTTTTTTTTTTTTTTTTTTTCTTTTTTTTCTTTAAGTAACTATTTTTTTTAGACCCTCAACAAATTACAACATTTATGCAACATTTATGTGTGCTTTAGACATGGCCACGGGCCGAACCGTGAACCGGTACCGGCCCGGACCAAACCGGCATGAACAGTACACGGGCCGTGAACCGGACCGGGCCCAAAGCAGTTCGGTTACGGTTCAATGGTTTTCATTAATCGGTCCCGGCGGACCGGGCCGGGCCGGGCCGGGACCGGTTCCGGTTTTTCCGACGGGTCGTAGTTCATTTTATATATTTTTTTTTTAACCCGGCGGTTCAATGAACCGCCGGGCCGGGCCGGTTCAAATGAACCGGCCCATAGAAATTGCCGGGCCGGTTACGGGTCCAACAATTGGGGCCCGGACCCGGCACCTGGCCATGTCAAGTGTGTTTGTTTGTTCTTGTCACACGTTATAGCTACCATTATTGTGCTGAAGTTGATAAAATTTAATATCTTATACAAATTCATATGTGAAACACTTTAATTAATCCGCTATATTTTTTTAATGAAAATATTATAACACTCATATTTCTACTTATTTTTTTTAGTGTACAATATATCAATTTGACAGCATACATATTGAAAAAAAAATATATATATTTTCATTAAAAAAGACAGCATACATATATATTGAAAAAATATTTTTGCCCATGCGTTACACATGCATAGCGTTCACATTTTTTTAACATCACCATATAACGTATTAAATTATAATATTGTCGTTAAGCTGTATAGCTTTCTTAACAAATTTTACATACTTTTCATATCCAATATTGTTATACTAAAAAAATCAAATAAATAAAAGTATTTAATTTTATAATATAAGTATTAGACAGCCTGATAGCTATATACATCATATATATATGTGCTGAAGAAATAACTATATTATTTGTCTTTTTCCCTATATTTTCCAATTCGTTGATGTGTATACTTTACAAATGGAAAATATAAAAATATGATCATGAAACCTTGTTGTTTTGTGCAAGTTTCGTCTGAATCTTTGAATTTGTCAAGAATGAAACGCGTAAAAATGTATCCAATCAACGATCACTAAAATAAATTCATCAAAATGTACCTTCAACTTTATTCAAATATCAACTTCATTGCTGGCACGTGTAATTTTGTGAGTTGGCTAGAAACATGGTGGCATTTGGTGCGTCACATGTTATCTTTTTTAGCCTATTTTTGTATTAAATCTTAGGTACTCTATGACCTATGTTGTATTTATTTTACACAAATGATCCTGCGCAAGATTTGGTCTCAATTAAAAACCAATTTTAGACATGATCATGTAATCATGTGTCCTATAAATGTCGGTAAATAGGTCAACAAGCTTTAGTTTGAACTATAGTAAATGAGAAAAATTAATCATTCCTTTTTTTAAAGAGCTAGAGTTCTATATCAGTACGGAGACAAATGAATTGAAATACTCTCAATTATAAAATAACCGCATTAGTTAATAATTGCTTTAATACCTCTTGTTTCACTTTCATAAATTATTTCATATATCCTTTTGTGTAAGCAGTTATTATATTATCATGTCCATATGGCGTAAAATAAAACATGGAAATAGTATAAGGGATTCATAAGTTTTAAGAGGTTTATATACAAAGTAATTAAATAGAGGAAAATGTCCGTATATAGTATGTTCCATGTGATAATATACTAATATTGATGATTATTATTCATTGTGTGTGTAATTAATTGATAAATGACACGTCCTTATCAAAATGTGACACGCGGATTTTCTTATCCTAAACACGTATTGTAAGTCATATTTTATTGTGAAACACACTACACGTATGGCTTGAAATATTAGATTAATCCAAATGTATTCTAACTATAGTGTTGACGGCCCTGTGGGGGCTATATAATTGACTTGTACATTATTTCCATAAATATCTTTATAATAATTTAAATCATGCAAGTATATAAAATGTGTCCACCATTATTTATTGGACAACACAGATATACAGAACCAAACATCACATTCACGTGTTATTGTTAGTTTTGGATGAAATATGTTTTCTTTTTATTTATTTTTTTCTTTTTTTTTTTAAAGATGATCAATAATGTTATCAGTTCCCCTCCTTAGGGACTCGAACTCGTGACCTACCAGTCATAAGTTAAGGCTACTTTTATCGGTGACCTCAATGAGTGGGTCACCAATTAAAAATAAAACAAAAAGAAAAAGGAAATGTCGTAAAAATTGAGCGATCCAGGTCACATTGTGACCTTGGGTTGCGACCGGTCTAGTGTGTGAGAATGGGACACTTGTCCCATTTTGATTGGATAAGTGTATTTTTTTGTTATAAAAATATAAAAAAGATATTAAAATTCATATTTTTTTCATTCTCTACAACTAGAGACCACACTTGATGTATTTTGGAATAAAATTGTAATTTTTAAATAAATTAAAATAAAATAAATATTTAGGTTGAGTTGGGTTGGAGATAAAGATATATTGAATTGTAAGGTTGAGTTGTGTAGGTGGAGGAGAGAGAAATAACTTTTAATTATTATTAGGTTGGATTTGGGATAAGGATAGTCTAAGCGTCTTACCACCAAGTTGCGCTTCATTGTCTTGGATGAAATATATATTTATATGTGAAAATTATAATATAAAAAACATCAAACTTCATAAATAGTTAAATGTTGGATCATATGTACTCACAATGGGAGAATATTCATTGTCAACTAACATAAGAACTATATATTATAGTAATAAAATTTGAATTCTAAAAAGTAAAGTATTAGACGGAATATCGAAGCAGACTGATAATATTTTATAAAATTCTTTCAATATGCATAAGTATACAAGTAATCAACTAACAATCAAAGTGTGCAA